ACTATTCTGTTGACTACGGCTTTCAAACGCGCTTTAAAGTGGTTTCCAGACTGTGCCGTTAGAGACCAGGCCTCCCGAGCCCCTGAAGCATCTTTCCTGCAGCCAGCGCCTCACGTTGGTCCCTTTCACATAGAGAGAGGAGGCAGAGGGCCAGGGGGGGGCTTGAGGGCCCACGATCTCCTGGTGGGTCTGGCTCACAGCCTGGACTGGGCATCGTACGCCCTTGGCTCCCCCATAGCATCAAAGTATCTCAGCCCAGCCCCCTTGGGCAGGCCTGCCTCCCCAACATACTCTGCAGTGGGGGAGCCACTGAGCCAGGCAGGACGCTGGCCCCACATCTTGCTGGGATGCCACAGCGCCACAGTTGTCTACCAGGATACCAGGAGCAGGGAGCAGCGGTACCCCTACCGCCACACATCCTGCTGCCCCCACATCCTGAATGGACGGCTGGGGGCGCCAAGGCTTTGGAATCAAAGCAGGCCCCGGGCTTGATGAATCACCTTCCTTTGTAGAGGATGCTGTTCTCAACACCTCCTGGGTGCCAACAGCTTGGCTCCGTGGCCTGTGTCTCAGCACGGGGTGGGGGGCAAGAGACACACCGAGTTCCTGCCCCCTCCTTGGCTTCCTTTCCCATCTGGCCCCTGAGGACGAAGAGGATGGGGGTGAAGCTGAGTGTGGGCAATGGAGACCGGGTGGAGCTGTGTCCCTCCCTGGTGCTGGGCCAGACCTCGAGTTGAGCTTTGCTTCACCTCCCCACCCCCCACCCCGCCGCAGTGACCCCAGCCCGTGGTTTGCCTGCCCAGAGCTTCAGCTTCCTCATTGTAGAAACTCAGAGCAGGCAGCGGGAAGCCGCCTGGGGCTAAAGAGCAGCTCCTGTTAGCATCTTCCTGTCTGTCATTTTGTTGGCCTGGTCGCTGGGAGTCTTCTGTAATGAAAGGACTGGGGAGGCCGTGCCTGGACCTGGTTTCCCTCCGCTCCCCTTGTCCAGGTAACCCTGATCTGGGAGGGAGAGGTCAGAAGAGGAGGCTTGTGCTCAAGCCACAGGTAGAACCTTCCAGAGCTGTCAGGGGAGGGCGAAGGACCTGCTTCCCCAGTCCAGAGCCACAGGATGGCGTGGAAGCCACCATTATGCACATGTTTGGCACGGTGTCCGGTTTCCGTAGAGCCACGTTTCCTGAGTGGCTCTCACAGGCTGGCATCTCAGCTGCTGGGCTGTGCACAGATCACTGTACACACACATCATGGGGGTTTGGAGGGGGTCCACATGCTGCCCTCAGGGAGCCCCATTGCCCTCCCACGGGACTCAGCGGGTGCGGGTAGGGGAGCCCTTTCCAGGCAAAGGACCCACTTAAGAAAGGGCAGAGTTGTGAGCACTGAGGAGCGTTCAGGGCCCGGGCTGGCTGCTGTGGCTGAGGGGAGGAAGTATTTGTTCGGGCTACACAGGCAGGTTTCGGCCACATTGTACTTGGTTGGGAGTGGTAAGTGGTAAATTTAAATGGTTAAAAGAGGGGTAGTAAGGAACCAAGAATGTCTGAGTCAGGTGGTATCATGGGCTGGGACTGGAGACGGATGGTGCTGATGAGGTCTACGGGGTAGGGCAGTGCACTCCCCAATCCCCTCTTCCTCTGCCCAGCAATCTTGGCTCATGGGGCGCAAAGGGTGAGAGGGAATATAAGTGGGGCACGGTTGGGTTCTGGGTACGACGAATGGCCCCTTGGCTCAAGAAGGACATGGGTGAGAGGAGACCGATGGCCACATGGGCAGGGTGATGATGTGATTCAGGTGGGGTTCAATTGGAGGTGAGCTGTGTCCTGTCTACGGGGAGGCCAGTCTTTCCCAAATGGGAGACACTGCCCCCTGGGGGCGGGTGCTGCAAAGCTGATGCTTACACTTGGTCCTGGATCATGGGATGGAGTGCAAGGGTTTCCTTGCCAGCGGGGCACTGAGTGATTGATATATATACGTATATTGATTTTTTTTTTTTTCCTGAAAGGGGTGGAGGGTGGTAGACCCTGTGCTCTAGCGTGACTTCAGAGGCCCTGGAGTTTCGTGTGCTCCCCACCTCTCTCCCAAGCTGCGGCTGGTGCCCTGCGGGTCAGGGCTGGTGCGGGAGGAGTCCATTCACCTGCTGGCAGCCTCAGGTTCTCCTGCAGACCAGGGTGTCCTGTGGGCTGCAGTGTCCCGGCAGGAAAGAAGGGGGAGGCGCGAATAGCATCCAGCGTAGCCTCCTGCCTCTCCCCATTGCAGGGAGAACAGGGTGCCTCCTGACTCCTCTCAAGCTGCACACCACCCTGGAGACACCCCCAGCTCCACTGGGGACCTTGAAACCAGGGTTTAGGTGCCTCCTCCTCTGCCACCTATAGAGCTGAACACTGCTTGACTGACAGGCCTTTCAAGCGGGCCCTCCTCGCCCCTGCCCCGGGGCTCAGGTCCAGCTGCTAGCTGCAGGGGCCTTGTTATGGAGAGGCCAGAGGGAGGCCAGTGGGCAGGAACCTGCTGCCGCCAGCAAGGTGTGAGTAAGCAAGGATTGCATGGGGGAGGGGGGTGTAGGCGGAACCTCCACAATCCTGACCCCATGTTCCCCACTCCCTACCTAGGCTCACCCAGCCAATGCAGGCCCCACCATAATAGGGAGAGATGGGAAGTGGACTTGCTCTCAGGGATCAGGCCTCTGAGGGCCCCGTGACCGGTCAGGCTGGATGACGGCAGTCCTCAGAGGCTCCCTCCCAGACTGGTTGGGGGCTGGGGAGTCAATCAGATAGTCCCCCTGCTTTACTGTGCCCCCAGTCCCTCGGGGTGGTCAGCCTGGTCGAAGAGGGTGGGGGTCAGGGGAGCTGCCCACATATCTCCTCCGTCTGGTCTCTGGAAGCTGCTCTGTGTTGAGTTGACCCAGAGGGCCCAGTCCATGGCCCTCTCAGGGTTGGCTACAGGGAAGGACCTTCAGGGAGCTGAAAATCAGAGGGGGCCTTACCGGGAATCCTCAGTGCTGTGCAATTATAAGGCCACAAATCACAAAGAAACAGTGGTGTGAGCAACTTTGCAAGCCTAATGGAATCCAAGGGAGGCCAGGCACCATAAACATTCAATCAGCCTCCCTAACCTGGTGCTGAGCCTGCCTGGGTGCAATGAGGCTGGGGGCGTGGGTCAGAGAGTGGGGGTCTCCACAGTTCAGCAAGCACCCCGACTGCCCCCTCCCAGGCTGGGCTCCTCTGGGCCATCCAAGGGTCAGTTTCTTCTGGGTGGGGCCAGAGCAGTAGACCAATACTTTGCATGGGCAGAGGGGGCAGAGAGTAGGTCAAAGTTGGCTTACCTGCAAGGACAAGTCTGAGATTGTCCCCAAAGGCCCTCAGGGCCGCCCCCCATCCCCCTTACTGTATTTGTCAGAGGGATGGTGGGAGGGAGGAACCACACTGACTTGGAGGAAGTGACTTGGGACAGATGGAAGGGAATGAGAGCCGAGCTGTGCTGTCCTGGACCACAGCCACGCGGGGGTTAGACGCCCAGGCTTGCAGAACACAGGGGTGCACTTATTGAGGATTTCCCAGCCTCTCTGGGCCTTAATCTTCTCTTTAGAAAACCAGGGGCACTAACGGGACCCCCTCCAGAGAGCCGGTGCAGGAACTAACCCACTGCCATCTGACTCATAGCAATAATCTTTACAAAGGCCCACTACCACCTCTTTCTTCCGCTGAACTGAAGGTGGGTTTGAACCACTGACCTTTCCATGAGTGGCTGAAAACTAACCACTGCACCACTTTGTCATCAAGCCTTGGAAAAACCACTGCACCACTTTGTCATCAAGCCTTGGAAAGCCTGTGGGACAGCTCTACTCTGTCCTACGGAGTCACTATGAATTAGAATCAACTCGACAACAGAGACTTTTTGGTTTGGAAACTCGGGTTGACATCTTTTTCTCCTGCTGAGCCGCTCACGGGTTCTAACCGCTGACACCACAAGCACTGAGTGTTGACCCAGGGCTCCGTCAGGATGCTGCTGAAAGGACTGAAAGAAACTCACTGCCCGCAAGTCAATTCTGACTTACAGCAAACCCTGTCCGACCGGGTAGACCCACCCCTGTGAGCTGCTGAGACTGGAACTCCTTACGGGAGTAGAGGGCCTCATCTTTTTCCTTTGGAGCAGCTGGTGATTTTGAACTGCCGACCTTGTAGTTCATAGCCCAATGCATAAGCCACTGCACCATCAGGATGCCTCATAGCATGACTTATAGCTGAGTCGTAGCAGCACCCTGTGGGTTTCCGAGACGGTAACTGTACTACACGGTACTAGAAAGCCCAGTCTTTCTCCCATGGACCTTGCTGGTGGCTTCGAAGTGCCAACCCTGTGGATCGCAACACTGGTGGTGTAGTGGTTAAGTGCTGGGCTGCAGTCCGCAGGGTCGGTAGTTCAAAACCACCAGCAGCTCCGTGGGAGACCAGGGGGCGTCACTCTGAGCCAGCACTGACTAGTTGACAGTGAGCTGGAGGGACTAAGTGACGTAGACTCACCTCGGGGACTTCCCATGACTCCTAGGGTGCTGCATGTGCTCAGACGCTCTGGTCCCACCTGTGAAGTGCAGGCCTTCAGGGGAGTCCCTGGACCCAGAGGGGTGTTACTGAGCCCCTCCCCATGGGGCACTTGGCAAAAGAGAGAGATTTACACAGACAGAGGACTCGGAGACCGGTCTGGGACCTGGATGTGGCTTGAACTCCTTGGGGTGAGGGTTCCCAACTCCAGGATTGTTGCTGTCCTGGACACCCCCGGGTGCTCTCAGTTGGGCTCTGTCTTTATTTCTGGCCTGCGCCCACTAGACACAGTAGCATGTCACATGTAGGGGAGGGGCCAGTTGTGACAACTGGAAATGTCTCTAGATACTCCCAGATGTCCGCTGGGGGCACAGTCCCCCTTACATCCTATGAGAAGCCCCGTGATGTGATGTAGGGGCTCCAGGTGGGGAGGGGAAGAGGGTTTCACAGCACTGCTTTTCCTGCAGGAAGGAGGCCATGGCCAGGCCCCCCGCCCCTGCCACCCCCATGCTGCTCCTAATCCTCCTGGTGCTGCTGGAGCTCAGCCCCACAAGCTCCTTGGCCCCTGCGACCCCCGCCCAGAGCCTTCCAGAGAATCCCATTGGCCTCCCTCGCCCAGCGCTCTGGAAGCCTCAGACCAGCCACCACCGCCGCCGGGGCCTGGGCAAGAAGGCACAGGGTCCAGGCATGTCTGGCCGGGCCCAGGATGGGGCTGTGGTCTCCACCACCAGGCAGGCGTCCAGGATGCCCAGTGCAGGGGGCCTGTTGCCTGGGCAGAGTCCTGCAGGCCTGCTGCGAGACAAGAACCTACTCCTGGGGCTGGCGCTGCCCCACCCTGAGAAGGAGAGCCGGTCCCCAGGGCTGCAGAGGGCGAAGAAGCAGGGCAGCAGACACAAGAGACGCAGGGACAGGCTGAAGCTGCATCCAGGTACTGGGGGCTCCCTGCGAGGTGGGGGCTCCAGGCACGGGAGGGAGGCGTCAGAGCCCACAGTTAGGGGTCACCCAGAGGTGGGGGAGGGGTCCCACTAGGGTCAGAGCATCTGGTGGGGGCGGGGGGTTGGGGACAACAAGGCAATGTGTCAATGGAGGCTCCACCTGATGAGGATGTAGGATCCCCCGAAGTCAGGAAGTCCCACCCAGTCCGACCTAAATCCATGGGACCGGAAGTCCTGAGTGGGGATCCTGGGTAGCTCACATGGCTAGCATGCTCCGCTGCTGACCCAGAGCAGGGACTCAGGTTAGACTCTCCAGCCACTCAGAGACCCCTCAAAAGAAAGATCCGACCATCTGCTTTCCAAACCCAGTCCTTGAAAAGCCCGTGAAGCCAGACCTGCTTCCCCAGACAAGGTGTCGCCTTGACCCTGGTGATCAGTCCTGGGTTGAGAGGGAGCCCGCCAGGGCCCTCCAAGCACACCACAGACCTGCCCGAGCATCAGAGCAGTCCCTCCCAGCCCCTTCTGAGCAGAGCAGGGGAGACGCGCCTAGAAGCCAGACTGGCCAGGTTCCGGCCCTGGCTCCATCACTTATAGACTGGGCGGCCCTGGACAAGTCACTTTTCTGTTCCTGCTCCTTCCTCTGCAAAATAAGGACCCTGGGCTCCTACGCCCCCACGTAAATCCAGAGACTTGATAGGCACAGCGCTTGGAATGGCGCCGGCCCATGGCAGGGGCAAGGAGCGGTAGCTGCTACTAGCTCACGCTCAGCTTGATCTCAAAGCCGAATCAGCGCTGCCCAGCCTACAGACAGGGCACCCAAAGAGTGCCCCCAGCACTTGCCACTCCCTTGACATTCCTGTTATCCCTGTGAGCTATCTGGCCTCCCGCGGCAGTAGGGCAGTGGGACTGGCCCTTGCTGGAAGACTTGACATGCAGGTTGGGGCCCCAGGCTGATAGTGGAATGAATAAGATAAGCACAAAGGTCCTTACGACGCCTTTCCACTCTCAGGGGTTCATTCCTGCAGGGGGGTGGGGTGCCCACTGGCCCGACCGACCTTTTAGCCAGAGGAGAACCAAGGCAGAGTGAGCCTGGGGCCTCCAGCTCTCTCAGAGCCCCATGGTTCCTGACCTCTGAGTCTGCACATCCTCTCCCTGCCCCGTTAGTGGTGAAGAGTATTGACTTAGACAGTCTGGCTACAAATCCAGGCTCAGCTCCCCACTAACGTGTCCCAGGCAAGTCGCTTCGCCATTGGGAGCTTCAGTTTCCTCTCCTGTAGATGAGGCCGAAGGGAGCACCCCCCTCACAACTCTCTAAGGATGGTTTGATGAACTATTGGGACCCTGCATGCAGTAGGTGCTGCATAAGGGACAGGCTGGAAAAGATCCCCGCAGAGGGATCCCACACCTGTGCAAAATGGCCAGTTCACTCCCAGCCTTCTCAAAGCCCTCTGCTCGCCCCTCCAAACCGCATCCCTCCCCTGTGTGACCCTGCCCTCCTCCAGAGTCTCCCGTGGTTACTCCTGCCTGCTCCCCTTGGTGGCACATGCCAGCGCCAACGTGGACTTGTGGGGAATGCTGCTTCCTAAGGAGAAGCCGGGCACATCTCCCAGGCCATGCTGTCTCTCGAGGGTCCCGCATTCTCACCCCTCACCCCCAGGAGGGCAGGTCACCAGATGTCGGCTGAGCCCAGGGGTACCTAGTCCTCACTCGCCCTCAGTTTACAGTAGGAAGTGTGGATGCTTCTGTGGGCAGACAGAGCCTCCACGCCTCCTGCTCCGTGTCTCAGGCCGAGCCTTGGTCCGAGGCCCCAGCTCTCTGATGAAGAAGGCTGACTTCCTCACCGAAGACCAGGTGCGGGACGCCACCCTGGAGGAGTCTTCCACCAGCCTGGCCCCCACCATGCTGTTCCTGACCACCCTGGAGGTGGCACCTGCCACCGAAGAGTCTGTCATCTTGCCTGTCACCTCTCTGCGGCCCCAGGTAAGAAGCCCCAGCACAGCCTCGGGGCTGGAGGTGGCCTTGAGACCCTGCCGTGCCTTGCCTGCTTAGTGTGTTTAGGGATCCTGGGGCACAAACGGAGGGGCTCTGAGGGCGGCGGCGTGGTGACGCGTGGGGCTGCTAAATGCAAGGTCCACAGTTTGAAGCCACCCGCTTCTTCAAGTAGAAAGGTGGGGCTTTCTACTCCTATGAAGAGGTACAGTCTGAAAAAAAGAGCGACTGTCTCAGGAACTCATGGGGCAGTTCTGTCCTGTCCTATAAGGTCTTTAGGAGCCGGCATCGCCCCTATGGCAGTGCAGTTCGTTTGGGGGTTGGGGTACAGACAGGGTTGTGGAAGAGACGGTCGAGACCACCAGGTCGAAACTGAAACCCGGTCCCCCTGTGTGTTCAGTGCCAGCCCTGGCAGAAGGGTCACTCCAGCCTGAGATAGGGCTGCCACCGCTGGGGCCCTCAGTCTCGGCACAGCCAAGGAGGCCAGTGCCAACTCAGCCGGCGGCTCTCTGCCTGGAGCACCGAGGGCCCCAGGGAAGGACTGTATGCTCCAGGAAAGCACTGAGATGGACAGCCCCCCACTGCTGTGGGGTCAGTTCCTACTCAGAGGACGCTACAAAGGGCTTCTGAGACTGCACATCTTTAGGGCAGTGGCCTCGTCATCATCCTGAGGAGTCCCAGGGGGATTTGAACCCTAGACCTTGCGGTGTAGCCACCCAACACCTAACCCACAGGGTCACCAGGGCTCCTTGAGGATCACACTAGCAACCTGAAACACCAAGTTCCCAGGACCCAGCCTTCACACGCATGAAGGGCCCTAGTAGCATTGTAGTAGTTATGGGATGGGCTGCTCACCTCAAGGTCAGCAGTTCCAAACCACCAGCGGTTCCTTGGGAGAAAAATGAGGTTTTCTACTCCCGTAAAGAGTTGCTGTCTTGGAAACCCACAGTGGCAGGTCTGCCCGGTCCTGTAGGGTTGCTCTGAATTGGCGTCAACTCGACAGCAGTGAGTTTGGTTTGGTGGGAGTGAGCACACTGACGCATCTTCTTCCGACCTTCTAAAACGGGCACATGGAGAGCGAGGGAGTGGGCGGTGTGGCCACAGCCCTGACCATTGGCCACTCTGTCGCTGGAGTCGCCTCTGGCTCCGGGTGTCCTCCGTCCAGCAGCAGGAAGCCTTGCCAGGACCTGCGCCACCTTCACAACTGTCGGTGTGCGCCAGTCCATTAGCGCGGCCACCGTGCATTTTGAGTGAATCCAAGGTGTGGGGAGAACGGAGAGGGGTCCCCCACAAATCATCACAGGTCCAGTAGGCGCAATTGTACAGCAATAATAGGTAAAGATTATAGTAGAGTCATAGAAAGCATGAAAGGTAGAGGAGAGATTGAAATAATGGAGTCAGATACAACTCATGGTAGCATGCTCACCTCAGCCGTGCTTGGTGGTCCTTGTGGGGGGAGCCCGGCCACGAGAGCAGGAGAGAGCCTCGGGGATCAAGAACCCTGGAGAGCCCCCAGGCCCGAGAACCCGGGAGAGCTTTTTGTTTATTGCTAACCAAGCATTATCTCTCTTTAGGGGGACATGATTACAGGTAACCACACGTCACAGGAAGGGGCAGTACA